CCCCAAAACCCCAAAACCCCAAAACCCCTGAAGGCCTATTTATTACAGAAAATTAGAAACTGATAATAAAATGAAGGTGGAGATCAGAAACCGGAAGGGCAAAGAGAGCAACAAGAAAGGAACCCTAGTTTATTCAGAGAAATGAGAAAGTACCATGCAGAGTACCTCTACTCAGAGCTATGACAAGTCTTTCTCCCCACTAAAGTTTAAGAAATTGTGAGTTCTCAAGGGATTTATTGGTTTAGGAGATCTAGAAGGGATTTACACAAGAGGCATAAGAAGAGTATGGTGAGAGATAATAAAGCCCTTGAAGATTTGAAAAAGGATCTCAATAGCTCTTATGACCTTACTAATGCGTACAAGTAAGTCCTTGCTTCTATCCCTGCCTTCTTTTACAGGTTTTGATATCTCCTTTAGGGAGAAATCTAGAGAAGAAAATAAAGGAATTGTAAGTGTGATTTACCAGAAACTTACTATTTTAGGACAAATATTTAATGTACAGATCCTCTTTTATCCCATCTGTATTTGTGAAAAGATACACCGGATCTGGAATTTTTCCATCTAACAAAGTATGGACTGATAAAGACATGGCTCCAATGTGTCAATTGCATAAGAAGTCTCATGCCTATCTTCAGAAGAATAAGATGTGGCAGAAATCCCTTCTTAAGAAGCTGAAGAATAGGAAAGAAATAGGTAATAGTGCATAAAGTGATTTTAAACTAAATTATCCGTTTTGTACATAAAGTTCGGAATTTCCAGACTTTCAATCTGCCAAATAAGTATTATTTGTGTAAATCTCTTTCCAACTATACTCATAAGCTAAGAGGTTGATAGCTATCTCAAAGCCAAGTTAGTCTTCCTTCCTAGCTCTTTTAACTTCTTGTGAATATTTCTTACCTAAACTTCTAGGCAAGTAAAAATAAGACTATTGATTTTGATGTGAGCCCTTCAAAATGAAGTTTTGTGCGAATCTCAAGCCCCATAAAAGATGGGAGTTCCTTTATCAAGGAGTTCATCCGCCAGAGAGCAGCTCTCCAGAACAACCTCAAAGGCAGGAATCAGTATGATCTTGGTTAAATATTTAGAGTGTTGAATAACTCATTAAAAGTGCGCAGGATTGACAATGAAAGTATTGAATTTCAGAACGGTAATTTTTGTAAGAATAACCTTCCTAGATGTTATTAAGAAACGGACTGCAAGTAACCACTGTCTTGTAACAAGGTCTAAAGAGACTAGTATCTCCCCGCATCGCAAGGCTTTGAAGCTCAACTGTATTTTATAAAAATTACCCAATTTTAGATATACAGAAGAGCTTTAAGAGTCAAGAGAGGAGCAGTGTTACTCTAAAAATCAAGGATGTCGAGTCTTGTCCCTGGGAGACCAAGTATGATTGAGATACTACTTTTTATGATTATAATGACCAGCACAAGTATGGTGATGCGTAATAGTAGTTTTGCTAGTTTAGTTCAATAATTACTAGACATATTGGGGTTTTGGGGTTTTGGGGTTTTGGGGTTTTGGGGTTTTGGGG